AGGGTTTTGGGTTTTGAGAGGAGAGAGCGATAGAGGGATTGGGTTGCCATTGTTGTACTTTGTTTTGAGGAGTCTGATGAGAGTGCGAGCAAGAGACTGGAAAATGGGATTGAGGGTTTTCGTAGGGTTTTATAGAAGGTGGAGAAAGGGGTATTCTGACCTAACGAAAATTGGTCCGAGATATTTTAGTAAATAGATAAAGATACAAAATAAAATAAAATTTACTTTTCTTATTCTTTAATAAAGTTTGCTTGATTTTCATTAAATATCTAATTAATTACAAGTATTAAAAAACTATAAAATGACTATAATATTTTCTATGGGTGAGAATCATTATAGTTTAGATTAGATTAGATAGATTTTAATAAAATTTTATTAAACAAGTTGCTCACAATTGTTTTTTCAAATATTGTTTTGATATTTGCAGATCCTACTCGCATAAGAGGAGAAGCTTTCCATCAGCATATTTATTATCTAAATCACAAAAATAAAAAAGATAACATGTAGTAAAAATAATAAAATCGAAAGTAGGAGTGTTACGTGACTAATTTTTAACTTTGAAAACATTTTATTTTATTTAATCATATAATTTAATTATACATCATCTTCATTGTAATAGCTCTTTCACTTATAAAAGATAAACCCACATTATTTGAGTCTACTTCAACTAGTATCAATATCTCTCATAAGAGTGGAGGATAAATCTACCTTAATCTGAGTCTATTTTGATATTAATATATCTCTGAGTTTATTTTAATTTTAATATCTTTCATAAGAGTGGAGGAAAGACCTACTATAATTTAGGTTTACATCGACACTGATATTTCTTATGAGAGAGTGGAAGAGATACTCACCTTAGTTCGAGTTACTCACCTTAGTTCGAGTCTACCTCGATGTTGGTATCTTTTGTGGAAGGTCCATGTCAATAAAAAGTTGAATCCGAGTTCACATTTTAAATTCATAAAAACATATCTATTAGGTAAAAAAATACTTTTATTCAAAAGCCCAAAATCTCTCCCATTTTTTATAAATGAGGGACCTATGACACTAGATACGAACTTATGATAATTGGAAAAGTAAATTTTAAAAAAATTATTATTTTGTAATTTTATTAATTTTCTAATTCTGATATATTGTAATTGATAAAATTTGGTTGGTTTTATTAAGTATCTAATTAATTAGAAGTGCTAACAAAAATTTGAATAAATATTTGGAAAATTAGTTTGAGAATTAATTTTTTTTTTGGAGTGAGTTTGAGAATTAATTCTTGTTAATGTTAATTATGTTGGTATTTTTAAAATTAAAAAATGCAACCCTAAATACTTTTTCAGCTTTTATATCACTAATTATCACTTTCAAAGACAAATTTTAAAAGAAAAAAAAAACCCAAAAAATAGTAATTAATGGAAACTACTTTTAGAAAATAAAAGTGAAAATAGTTTTAAAAATTCCAACGATGCTTACCTTCTTTTTCCCTTTGCTATATTTATTCTAATTTGCCAAAATTATTTTAAGTAGAGAAATACGTGAGTAATATCATACATAAAATCGATGTATTATAAACAATAAAAATACTATCCTTTCTCTTCTTTATCTTCTTTGTAGTTTTTGGCTTACACCTTAATAAAAACTTTGGTCACACTGAACTATGCAATTTTGGTATGAACAATTTCATACAGCCTTGCAAGTTAGGGGCTTTTGTGCCACTTTTCCATTTAAAATATCCCAAACTATAGTTTGGAACCAAAACATTCAATAATCTATATCTTTCAAGTTAAAGAAAACTATAATGATGGCTTGGTCTGATAAACATGGCTAGATCAAAGTTGCCTTATTGCTTTCATAGTTCAAATACAAAGGATTGGGATCAAATTGATTGATTAAGCTCAAATTTGATTACCAAATTGGGAATAGTTCTGTTGTTTCATTACATGCCATAACCAATTATTTTAGCTTTCTCCCACCAACCTTATTTTAGCTGTCAAAGTAGGGGAAGATTGGGTGAGGCCACCAACATTAAACCCATGGCAGTCAATATATTAGCTCACCAGAAAAACCTTCATTACCCAAAGACTCAGCATTGAATTTTTGTTTCATTTCTTTGCTTTCTTTTGCCTTCTTGTGTCTGGCTTTGGGTTTCTTGTGAAATATTCCATTTATCAGAACCGCACCAAAACTCTCCTTTCAAAGAAAGAAAAAGCCTAGTCAAGCAAGCCCAATGCCCCAAATTGGCTAAATCCACATGCATGCAAACTAAACTATTCATTTTCTTTTGCTTGTTCAAAGGATACCCACTTTGGTGTGTTAGTTCATCTCCTTGTATTTTTCTTTCTTCACATAAGCTTACGCATCCCCAGTTTTCCCTCTCAACTTTCACCTTCCTTTCTCTCAATGGAACTGCCTGTGAAGTCACCGGTTGCCGGTGGCCGGAAAGCTCCATACAGATTGGAAACTAAAAATTTGTCTTACAAGTTAAGCAGCAAATTTGAAGAGTTCGGATGGGTTTTTTGTGGCTTGATTAATCCAGAGAGAGGTCCCAAGTTCATTTTGAAGGGTGTAAATTGTGAAGCTAGGCCTGGAGAGATTACCGCGATAGCTGGACCAAGTGGGGCAGGAAAAACTACATTGCTGGAGATTCTTGCAGGGAGGATACCACCCTGTAAAGTGTCATCAGGGGAAGTGCTAGTCAATGACAGGCCTGTTGATAATAAACTGTTTCGAAGAGTTTCAGGATATGTTACCCAAGATGATGCTCTATTTCCATTGCTTACAGTTGAAGAAACACTCATGTATAGTGCACTTTTGAGGCTACCAGGAGGGAGAAAGGAAGCTAGTTCTAGAGTGGAAGGGCTATTGAAGGAGCTTGGTTTGGAGCATGTGGCGGGTTCCAGGATTGGTGAGGGATCAAACAGTGGCATATCCGGTGGAGAAAGGCGCAGAGTATCGATTGGAGTTGATTTGGTTCATGATCCTGCTGTTATCTTGATCGATGAACCAACTTCAGGATTGGATTCAGCTTCAGCCCTTCATGTAGTGACACTGCTAAAATCAATGGCAGTTAATCAAGGTAAGACTATTGTTTTAACCATTCACCAACCAGGTTTTCGGATCCTCCAGCTGGTTGATCGCATTGTTTTGCTATCAAATGGAGTTGCTGTTCATAATGGAACGTTGAATCTTCTTGAAGAAAGGCTAATGTTTGCTGATCATCGTATCCCTCGTCATGTCAATGTTCTTGAATTCGCCATCGATGTTATAGAAAGTTTGGCCGTGCCAAATTCAGAATCACTAAGTAACATAAACCGTGAAGATTGTAGAATGAGGAGCCCCTGCATGAATCTTGAAAGAAAGCTTCTCTTCTACCCCAATTCTCGGTTGGAGGAGGTTTTCATATTAGGACAAAGATTTTGCAGCAACATATTCAGAACCAAGCAACTCTTTGCTACGAGAGTTATACAAGCCTTGGTAGCTGGATTTGTACTTGGAACCATATATTTCAATGTTGGAAATGATAAAGGAAGGATTGCTTTACAAACTCAAACAGGTTTTTTTGCCTTCACACTGACCTTCTTGCTATCTTCAACAACAGAAGGCCTGCCAATTTTCTTGCAGGAGAGAAGAATTTTAATGAGAGAGACTTCAAGAGGAGCTTATAGAGTTTCCTCCTATGTCTTAGCCAACACAATTGTTTTTCTTCCTTTTCTTCTGATGGTTGGCATCCTCTTCACCTCACCAGTTTACTGGCTAGTTGGTTTGAGAAGGGACACCATTTATGCGTTTCTCTACTTCTCCCTGGTGGTTTGGATGGTTCTTTTGATGTCCAATTCTTTCGTGGCATGTTTCAGTGCTCTTGTGCCAAACTTTATCATGGGGAACTCGGTGATTGCAGGTCTAATGGGATCTTTCTTTCTCTTTTCAGGGTATTTTATAGCCAAAGATAAAATACCAAGTTACTGGATTTTCATGCATTATTTGAGTTTGTTTAAGTACCCATTTGAGTGCTTTCTGATAAATGAATTTGGAGGAAAACAAGGCCAAAGGAGGTGCATAGAATTTGAGTATGGAGAATGTAGTTTATTGGGAAGTGGCTTCTTAAGACAGCAAGACCTGAAAGATTCACAGAAATGGAGCAATTTAGCTGTGATGTTGGGCTTCATAATTGGGTATAGAGTGCTCTGCTTATTTATTTTGTGGTATAGATGTTACAGAGCAATAAACTAGACAGTCTTTCCTTTTCTTGTCCTTTTTCAAATTATTATTATTATTATCATTTTTTATTACTGATAGTGATTGATATATAAACTGATGCTTAAATTAATGCAAAATCTATATACCCATTTTGTTTAAATTCGTTCAGAAAAGGAATTCTAGCAGATAGTTTTTTTTTTTTTTTTTGCTCAATCAGATAAAATATTCAATTCTAGCAGATAGTTACATCAAAATATATGTAAACTTGCCATCAAATTCAATGTTCCAGGCATTTTAGATGAACACATGAATCCTAAGGTTTTTTTCTTGCTGCTCCCACTAAATTTCTAGCCATTCTTCAAAATTAATAAACTATTTACAGTTACCCTCTCAGCCATAGTTAATCTTTCTATTTAAAGAATTGATACTAGCTTTAACTGGTATGGCTAGTAACTTGAATTCTATCAGCACTAACAGGTTATATCAAACATTTGCTGTGGCGGTGTTACCATGTTGAACAACAAAAATTGCCTTGTAGTTGCATGTACGATTGGATCAAACTAAACAATAGCAACAACAGTGAAGAGATCAATCGTTGCAAAATGCCAAGAATAATGAAAACACACCAGAGCATTCTGTTTATATAGAAGAAAGAAAAAAATGTGTGAGCAGAGAAGAGTTTATTCACCTGATGTCACAAAGTATTGCTCTTATACACTCTGGATTTGCAGTACTTTTTCTTGCTCTTTCTCCTTTTAACTTACTAGAGTGGTTTAAAAAGAATCAAAATATAAAGGCCCGATTGACTACAATTTACACAAATTTACAGCATTGCTAGTCTCACAAGCAGGAAAGATGAGAATGGTATAGTTTGGCTAGCAATTTCCAAAGCCCTGGCTTTTCTTTTAACTAAGAAAAATCAGGGAAAAAAATTTTCAGAACACTAGCCAAAGGACACCAAAACAATAATTACACCAATCTAATTGCTTCGGTCGTATATCGAATTGAATGTCATTGTAGCATATGATGTGGTAATATTTCCCGATGATGAAGATGAATTCCCCACTTTGCCTGTGCCTTCAGAAGTCAAGTCAGACTTATCTTTGTGGCCTCTGAGACTCATGAACTCTGAAAGAAGGCCAGGTCTTGATATATTCTGGTCATCAACAGCTGCCTCACCCATCAGCATCTTCACCACTTCAGACATGGATGGTCGGAGCTTTGGCATGTCTTGGGTGCATAGTAAGCCAATCTTTAGGAACCTCTGAGCTTCTTCATCATTAAAGTCTCCGTTCAATGATGTATCAATTAATTCCACTAGTTGTCCCCGCTCATACATCTCCCATGCCTGCAGTTGTAAATTGCTTAGCAAGGAGTGTCAAAATCTTAAATATAAACCAAAGAACCAAATTGAAACAGATGAAGTTCAGAGTGCAACAAAGTACAGTAAACATGTTGACTGGAGATAATGAGGCAACACTTTCACATCATTGGTATGACACCCAAAATCAAGATAAAAAAGGAAAAGCAAGAAACAGATATAGACCCTGGCCCTTCCAAAATAACAGTTAGAGCTTTTGGTCAAAGTGGTGTACCCTATGGTTATGTCTATCCATAGCCCTTAAGCAGAGAATTCTAAAAAGCCCAATCTTTCTCCCCAAGAAGTAGTAACAGAGTCAATGACTTTAGTGCATTCCACTGACTTTGGACAATTTAACCACAGAATGACCTGGATGGCAACATCTGATGTGTTGGCTATGATACGGCCAAGCATGCAGTCGGTGGATTAGCTAAGCAGAGATTGACCTAAAACATTGGATCCAAACCATTTGACATGGTTGGTTTCTCACAGCGAGTTGCACCTGAAGGATTTGTCGAAATCACATGAGGTCTATTTCTTTTGCCCCAGTGTAAAACTGGATAAATATTCTACCTAAAGAAGATTTAGATTACCTTACATGAATTTGAAAAAGCTTGTAGCATGATTTAATTACAGTTTTACCTAATTGGAGGAGTGATGATCATATACTTGGAAATGAATACGGGAGATCTACTGATATTAACATGTGATTCACTATTTGACACCCAACAGGTATCTTTAAAAAAGAAAACAGTAT